TTTGTCACACTTTGAGAGCTGGCCAGAAAGGAGACAACAAACACACATAACTGTAACAAAAGAAAAAGCGGAATCCATGTAATACATCATAAACACATCAAGTTGAGCAGACCTGCAAGTGGAGATGCACAGGGCCTGCACACAGACAATCACATTACCAGCAAGCTTTCCAGCAGTGCTCAGAGCATGACACACACCAGAGCTGGCCTCCATCCTGGGAAGCAGTGGCCCACATCCTTGCTTCTCTTCATTTTCTCTCCTGAGAACTGTCAGCTCTAAATGGTCTTGACCCCCAGAAAAAAAAACACTGAAAGCTACCTCAAGGTCAAGCCCAGCCCCTACACTATTAGCACAGCCTTCCTGCCTTGGTGTGTCCTCCCCCATGGTCTACTGACAAAGCCCAGTTTACAAAGTCCATCCCTATGTCCAAGATCAATCAAGTTAGCTACCGGCAGTTACATGTCTAACCTGTGTGCCTCAGTCATCTGGACATCCTATCCTCAAAAGAAATACACAAGACTCTGCATTTCAAAGTCACCTCCTCCAGGAACCTTCCTAAACTCCCAGGGAATCTTGTTGGGTTCTGAACCCACCAAGCATCTAAGAGGCCCAGAGGGGAGCACTGAGGCCTGTTTGCCTTCCTTGTTCTGTCCTGGGGCATGGTGCTCAAAGCCAAGAGGGCCTTCTGCCATGAATAAAATAAGGGCCCAATACCAGCCTGTGAGAATGAAGTGGGCCTCTTCAAATACTGCCCAGCCTCCTTGCCACCTGAGGATGGGGATTGGAGGGCAGAGCACCCATGGAGCAGCCATTCCCCGGTGCTCCTTCTTCCAAAAGCCCTCAGCCTCTCAGCAATTATGGCCAATGCCTCTAAGCTGTGCCTGAGAACAGCTGCCTCAGGTAGGGCCCTGTTCCTTATCAAGTCTACGTGAGAGTACCTAAATGGACTTCATTTAGGGCTGGTTGGCACCTATGATGAGCTGAATTGTATATATCCCCCCAAAAATTCATATGTTGAAGCTCTCACCCCCAGTATCTCAGAATGTGACTGTATTTGGAGATGGGGCCTTTAAAGAGGCAATTAAAATTAAATAAAGTCATACAGGTGTGCCTATGCTAATCTGACAGATGTCCTCATAAGAAGGGGTGATTAGGACACAGGGACAGAGACACTGGGGATGTGTGCACACAGAGGAAAGAGTATGAGGTCATGGCAAGAGGACAGCCATCTGTAAGCTGGGAGGAGAGACTTCAGAAGAAACCAACTCTAACAATACCTCAATCTTGAACTTCAGCCTCCAAAATGCCTAAGAAAATAAATTCCTAGTTCTCAAGTCACCCAGGCTATAGTATTTTGCTATAGTGTCGACCAATCATCACCTAATAGACAAATGAAGGAAGAGACGAAAAAGCAATACTTGATAGCACAAAAAAACTCACAGAAGTATATTTGTGATTATTATTTGCATTCTCAATTTGTAGCACCCATCTATACCAGAACCTATGAAGTTCCAAGAATTCAGACACAATTTAGAGAAATAAAAAAAAAAAAATCTTGAGTATTAGCCTTCTAAAAGGAGTCAATAAAAAACATTCTTATATGGGAGCCTGGATGACTCAGTCAGTCAAGAGTCTGACTCTTGATTTCCAGCTCAGGTCATGACCTCAGGGTTGGGAGACTAAGCCCCACATCAGGCTCCGTGCTTGGCATGGAGTCAGCTTGTCCCTCCCCCTCTGCTCCTCCCCCTGCTCGCACTCTTTCACTCTAAAATAAATAAATGAGTAAAATATTTTTTAAAAGGTTCCTATAAAGAACAAGTTCTTCTAATATTTTGAGAATGTTAACTGGCTTTTAAAAATTAAAATTATAGGGATGCCTGGGTGGCTCAGTTGGTTAAGCGTCTGCCTTCAGCTCAGGTCATGATCTCAGGGTCCCACATCAGGCTCCCTGCTCATCGGAGAGCCTGTTTCTCTCTCTCACTCTGCCTGCTGCTCTTCTTGCTTGTGTTCTCTCTCTTTGACAAATAAAATATTTTTTAAAAAATTAAAATTATAAAGTAGCTGTGAGGTAATATAACCACTATATACTACTAGAAACCTAAACAAGTGCTTTTCCAATGGTAGTGTTTATACACAGCTCTACTAAGGCCCCTCTGGGATGCTGCACAAGACCCAGGGAGGTCAATCAGACATGCTCCCCTGGGAATAAGGCTCAGGGCACCTGACTTGAACTAACCTCACCAGCACAACTCCACTGTTGCCTTTTCTCACACTGAGGTTCTGTGTGAGATTCTGTTTGATTAACAATTCCACCGAGTTAAAAAATACATATGTGAAAACCAGTGGGCTAAGCCATTATTCCAGTTATTTCAAAATTTAAAATCAGGAATCTCATCTATAATTATCACAAACATGCAATAAATTATAATTATCTTCCTCTCTCGACAAAATATCTGAGTAAGGAAGGGCACATGCTCATCATTTAAAAATACATAACAAGGGTAGAGAATATTACAAAGAGCTTGAAGAGGAGTTTTTTCCCCAGATGCAATATATTATTACATAAAAACATAACATACTGTAATAGCAATGCTTCTACCAGTAATTCTGTATGCTTTACAGTCCTCTGTTGGTTAATCTTTACAGCATTCCTTTGTCGGCTGAGAAGGAAAGATGTTCCTTTCCATACGGTAGAAAACCGAGAATAAAGTTAGTAATATAAGAATAAATGCAGAAATCATGCTTCGTGCTTCTCAGGCAATGTGATGGAGCAGACCTGAATTGGAGTCCTTACTCCATCACTTCCTGACTGTTTATTAACACTCTCAAACTGCTTCCCCTCCATAAAAGGGGTTAATAGTTTTGTGAAGATTAAAGAAAACATTGTGTATAAAATGCCCAGTAATACTTTGTACATAACAGATGCTCAGGACATGCCTTCCCATTCACACCTTCCCTGCAATAACCCATGAGGCAGTCTTACAAAAGGAATGGATGAGCGCTTAGGAACATCGAGGAAGAGTGCACTGTGTGCATTATTTCCTTAAAGTACTGGACTCCTTTTACAAATGACGTTTTGACAGTGATGTTTAAAAGACTGCTCCTAGTTTTTACGGGCGACACCCCCCCCAATGCCCACAATCAACTCTTCTCAAATCCGTATTTTCCAACATGATGTAAACAGAAATGACCGCCCTTCCAGGACCAATTAGAATGAAAACAAATAGCAATGCTATATAAAATATCCTTTCATTATCAATTAAAAATAAATCCTGTGTAAGTTTAAAAATCTGTTTTTATTTTTAATATATTTTGGCAACAAGCTAATTTTTATCAATTGTTAATTTATATATTAATATTTAAAAGAATAATCTGTTTAGGCAAGAAACTATTCTTGTGACTCTAAATAAAAGAGTTAGGAAGATAAATCTAAGCCTAGCACAGAGTCAGATCTCAATAAATTATCTGTCACATGAAAGAAGGGAAAACCTACTACCAGTTTTACAATAATAGAAGGAAAATGCTGAGAATAACTAGAGAGATTATAAATGGAACTCTCCAATTAAGAAGAAGCTCAAGTACAAAGAAAGCAAATAACTTGTCTATAGTTATAAGAAAGATAGCAATATCAAGAAAAAAAAAACAGCCATCTTAAAGCCAAATTTACTTTTTTAATCATCTTTTAGACCCTACAGTTTATGAACATGGAGAATTGACCACTTAATAGGAAAAAAGATGACCCTACTTTTCTGTTTAGTTTTATATTTAATCAAATGCACCAATTACGCATAGCAATTAAGAAATGAGACAAATAAAAGACTCCAGCTATACAAACAAGAGAATTTGTGGCATAATATGAATATGATTTTCCTGGTCTTCATCAACAAATTAAATTGCTATAGATGATTTTATAATGGATAAAAGGGTAGATAAAATTAAATTTATATAAAAAAAACACAGCATTACTTAAACTTAAAAATCAACATTTTTTTTGAAAAATATGCATCAGGCCTATTCTATGTACTTCACATATTTTAACCTCACATATTAAATCTTTACCATAATCCTATGAAACAAAGAAGGGTGCTACAATCCCCATTTTATAAATGAGGAAACTGAGAGAAGTAAAATTAACAAGCTCAAGGTAACACAGCATAACACCCAGGTAATCTGGCACCAAAGCCCACACTCTTAACACCATGCTATCCTGTTTTAAACTGTATGATTATTTTTAATTAAAATGTATTTTATAAAAACCTAATACTAGTTTCCATTTAACAAGCAAAGATCAAGATACTTATATAATACTTACTAATATTTCTAGCTATATAGAATGAACATTTTATTTATGTAGGATTTTAGGAACACCTTTATTAAAAGACCACAAAATCCATAAAAAATTCACAGGTTACATACTAAAGACACAATTTTAAGGCATTTTCAGATGCTCTTCTATAGATGGTTTTAACTGATAAAAGAAAACCTACATATCCTATGGAAATTAGTGTTAGTCAATCTAAAGAGCCCATCATTAGCTCTCAAATTATTTAGGAATATATAAAAAAAGAAATGAGACTGCTTTAGATGCCATTGTTGGTATGCAATTAACATATTGTTTAAATATCAGTTATAATACCTTTTTACAAAAAATGTTGATCAAACTGACTTAATTCTAGAGAAGAGAAAAAATATGTGAATCATGATTCAAAACCAGTATTACTATAGGCCTGATAATCTAAAAGTGGTCATCAGACGAGTAATTCTGTTCAAACTTTGGTTATATCACCATTTAAAAAAGAAGAAGATAAAACAACCACAAGAGTAAGCAGAAAAGGAAATCCAAGTCTAAGATCATCCACATTTTTCTACCTCTGCTGACAAAGTCCATTGCCAGTACGTGCTGTAAAGAGAAATATTAAAGGATAAACAAATATTAAATATTAAAGGATAAACAAAACCTGTTTTTTGAACTTCTTCACACCTAATTCTTTGCTGCCTACCTGAAATCCATGCTTGCCTCTCCACCACGTGCTTAACACTTTTGGGGGCATGTCAATAACAGAAACGATGTCTCCCACCTACAAGGAAAAATTTTAAGTGAAATTTTTTTAGTCAAATTTTAAACCAATTGTTATGTCTAGAATTTAAAATCTGAACTAGAACAAAAAGTTAAAGTACAATCCTTATTCTCAGGCTAATTATTTCTGGAAAAACATAATACATTTTTCTGTAAAAAATTTAATAATCTTAACCATTTGTAAAGAAGAGGTCTAAAAAAAGTTAAGAAGCACGAAGATGGGGATCCAAGCAACATATGTGCAGGAACTTCAGAAAGCCAAATTTAGAGCATACGATTTTTGAATGCCAGGTGTCATACCACCATCATCACTTCTGTTAAAATATCGTTACTGTTACTAAAAGGGATCAGATCCACCTACAAGGGACAGTTTAAAGTACTCATATTTAGAACAACCATAGCTTTTATTAATAACATTTAGTGTACTGTTTTGAGCATTTGATATATTTTATTTAATCATATAACAAAGGCTTGCAATGTCTACAATCACCTGGTTACCCACAGTAAGTATAAAGTTGGATGACAACTATACTTTTTTCAATAGATGGTACAATATAACATTTTCACTTAATAGCCTATTTTCTTCACTCTAAATGACAAACTAGTGAGTGTATACAAACTTTTGCAAAATCATAAATACAAAAATCATAATGATAGTTTCAAACAATATATTGAATGGGAGTTACACTCTTCAACCAAAATAAGTTACGATTTCTAGGATACAACATAGTAAAATACTTCAGAACAGTATTACTATGGTATACATATTGCTTTAAGAATTTTTCTTTGTATATTAACAACTGATCTCTCAGGTCATGAAAGAGTTATCTTCACTTCATTTTTGCTAACAGACATGGCATGCATTCCTTTATGTATGGAACCTAAAAATTTGTATCATTTTTTCTTAAACCGAGCAACTGTTAGCAGTCTTTTTGTCTCTCATCAGTCAATATTAAAGAAACTTAATTCCCCTCCTTTTGTATCTGATAGCAAGAAATGTTCTTTTCACTTTTCATCTGTTCTTTAACTCAATCTTTGAACAAACAATGAGGAGAAAGTATCATTGGGTATCCTTTTTAGTACTAAAAACACAAAGACAAAAGACTGACTCTCAAGATCATGGAGATAAACAGGATAACAACTATGACTGAGTGTAATAAGCGAAATGTCAGGGATAGGAGTGCCAGGCTGGCTCAGTCATAGAGCATGCAACTCTTGATCTCGAGGTTGTGGGTTCAAGCCCCATATTAGATGTAGCGATTACTTAAATATAAAATATTTAAAAAAAAAAAAAGAAAGAAAGAAAAAAGAAATGTCAATCCAGGCTATTTGGGGATAGGTATTTGCACAGAGTAGGGAGAAGATAAAAGATGACTTCCTAAAAGAAATGGGAGATACAAGTTGAATTTTCAAGGATGAATATGGTCATTTAATAAAAATAGATGGCATTCCAGGCTGAAAGACAATGAAGTACAGGTAAAGGGCCTGAGTCTTTAGTCATTTACCTCTAAAGTCAATTCGTCAGGGGCCCGAGCAGTGTACCTCTTGATAACGTGGGCAGCACCAACAGCAGGAGTGTTAATGGATGATTCCTCATGAACTAGAAGATGATTTCCCTTATTATCAATCTATAACAAAGAAAATGAACTATGAGATGGTTAAAGACATGGGATTTACAAAAGTTTCTTTGACTACTCATAAAAAACATTCAATTTGATTTTGAGAAACCACAACCTGAAGAATCTTTAAAAAACTACTATTATATATTGAGTACTTAGTATATACCAGTCATTGTGCTGTGCACAAAATATAATTTAATTTAATCCTCATAACTCTAAAAGATACTTAACACCATAATCATCATTTAAAGATGAAGATGCTAAAGCTAAAAGAGGTTATATAATTCATGAGAAATTAAATAATTTGTCCAAGATCACACAGCCAATAATGGAAGAGCCAATATCTAAATGCAGGTTGGCTCTAAGTTCCATATTCTATTTTCCATCCTGTCTTCCAATTTCCACTGAGAGGACAGATCAATATAATTTTACATATGCAAATTAAGGAGAAATACCTAGCATATTTTCTGGATACTGTAATATGCAATAATTTTAAATTGGACTCTTCAAAAGGTGAATTATCTCTTGTTCATAAATAACTGAAAAATATTTTCAATTACTAAGTCAACTAAATACACACACACACACACAGACACATATATATAAACACACACTACATATATATATACATTAATACACTAAATACCAAAATAAGAGGTGCCATTGCAATTCACAAGATATATTTAAATTAGTTTACTGGATTCTCAAAGATAGATCTGAGATAAAAAATCCTTAACGTATCACTTTATCCTTCCAAAAAATAAAAATAAACTCCATTTCTTTGATTCCTGAAACTCAACAGCTATCAAAATTAAATTAATATTAAATTTCTGAAGTAGTTTAAAAATAAACTTTGATACGAGGTGAATTAGATAATACCTCCATCCAAGTAAGGGCAGGTCCACAATTGATCTTGTTGCCGGCAATTGCTGAAAGGCGGGACAGGTACGCCATAAGCATCTGAGTGACAGACTAAAGAGAAAGAAAAGATTCAGTGGTAAGTCAAAGTCAAGATATAGCACTCTGTTCAAGTAAATGGTATACACTGGTTTCTGGGGGCAAAAAATCTACAGATTTTTAGGCATTTTAATAGTTATAGGGGATTCTTCACAGAGGCTCAAGAGTTCCATTAAGTGAAACCACAGGAACTTACAAAGAAATCCCGTCTTGTGAAGAACTTGAACTGCTATCTCCTCGTCATCAGGGGTCATACTAGTTTATAGCTTCTAACCTTATTACTGTTTCTATTTTTATACTGAAAATATAAAAAAGATAATTATAGCAGAGACATACTTGGCCTTTTCTGCCCAGCCTCCTCCCCGCTACCTTGAAACTCTCCGGGACCTGTTGTAATCTTCCATGCATGCAGCCATGACAGGACAGCCACGTTCATGTGCGATTGCACACCATGGGTCCGTGGAATGTTCCAGGACCAATTAGTTGGCCTAACAAGAGTTACGGTAGGAATTAGGAATTACGATAGAAAATTTCAACTCATTCTGGTGGCTGTCTTAAAGAGAGAGAATAAAAACCTGGGAACTTTTCTTGGTGGCCATGTCCTGAGACAGCCTGAGAAAGAAAAATGTGACAAGTAGGTGGAGATGGGAAACGGAGATGGACTTCGAGGTTCCCTATGATAGAAAAGAATCTGTGACTTTAAGATGTTCCTGAGACCCTGCTGCTGTGTCAGTTCTTACAAGACTGAGGAGATCGCTACTTTGTCCTACCTACTTAACTGCCCTGGAATTAATTAGAAATTTGAAAGGGCTTCCCCTCAGGATGTGAAAAGTACCTGCACTCTTTTCAAGCATCCAATACAGCTGCTGAGGAGTCTAATGTCAAAACAATTCTTGTTCTTTTAAGAAAGTGTTTTGCTCTCCGAAATCTTTTTGGGTTTTCTGTTTTGGCATTTTGAAATTTCACTATAGTGTCCCTAAATGCATGTCTTTCCAGTCATCATACTTAGCACTTACTGGGCCCATCTGATCTGAAACATGACTTTCTTTAGTTTTAGGGAATTTCTTATATTAATTTTTAATTACTTCAATCTACTGTATCCTCATAGAACTCCTAAAAGAGGGAAGTAGGAACTTCAGGATCTATTCTCCGTGATTCCCATTATTCTCCCCCAACTTTTCATCCTTCTCTCTGTTCTAGGGCTATATTCTTAAAAAATTTGCTCTCCCAGCTCACTAATGCTCTCTTCATCTGTGTCCATGTTGCACACAGTCCAAATATTCAGGTTTGAGATGACTGAAATGAACCTAAATAAGCACATGTTCATTCTAAGATCTCTGATTTTTTTATTTTTATACAGCTCTGCTCTCATTCCATGGCTGATCACCTTACTTTCTCTCTGAGGACAGCCTTATTTACTCTTTTCAGTTATTTTATTTATTTAGCTTACACAATCAAGACTTCTAGTTTGTCTTCTTCAATCCTCTTGTACATGTTTTTTCTGCTGTATTTGCTCATCTCCATAAATCTTACCCCATCTACTCCCAAAGATTCCTCACAATTTTGATGGCTGTTCTTTTCTGATGTTATAAAGAATCTCTTCCCATTTAAATTTTTTAAAAATCTTTTCTCTTTTTACTAGAAGTATGGCAGGAGTGGAGGTAAGGGCACAGATACAGCATGTCATCATAAACTATGCCTTTCCTCTAATTATTAGTGAGGTCAACATTTTTCCCTATTTTTGCTTCCATATTTTATGTTCCCTTTAAAGAATGTCTGCTCATATAGATAGTGTGTTTATATATTATGAATTTTTTTATAGAATTACACTCCAAACCTACTTTAATTCTAAACATTCTTCAGAGCATTACTAATTTTTTTGTTATGAAATAATTAAATTATCCCAGGAATCATCCTGATTGTTCAATATAAGCTTTTATTTAGTATACACATAAAACTTTCTGCTAATTTATATACAGTGATTACTGCTCCAAGTATTAAATGCTTACCTCTGGACTGTCCTTCAGGGCATCAGAACGGGGAAGCTCTGAGAGTTGGGAGAATCGTCGGTCATAAATACACAAATGAAGATGTTTATCAAGTACCCGAAAATCTTCATAACTTCTTTTAACAATCCAACTTTTGCCCTATGGTAAGAAAGAAAAGAAGCTTTTCTACAATGACTTTATATTCATGATATTTTATATTTGCAAATGAAAAGCTCATCAACTTCACAGTAAATAGGTAAGTACTTAAAGATTTATTTACTTATTTAAGAGAGAGAAAGAAACCACATGAGCAGGGGCCAGGAGGAGGAAGAGGGAGAGAACCCTCAAGCAGACTTCCTGCTGAGCATGGAGCCTAATGTGAATGCCAGGCTGGATCCCACAACCCACAAGATCGTGACCTGAGCCAAAACCAAGAGTCAGACACTCAACCAACTGAGCCACCCAGGTGCCCAGGTAAATAGGTAAACTCTGAAATACCCTAGTGAGTTTTAGTACATTAAAATGTCAGTAAGGGAAAATAAGATAAAACGCTCCACTGACCATCTTTCTACTGCTGGCTGTAGAAAGTCCACTGGCTCTCTTTGGGAGTAATAACTGCTACATGGTAAGACAGCACGTGACCTTAAACCCACAGAAAGAGCCATAAAATAATTTTGGATGGGAGAATATTATCAAAAATTAAAGAAAAATAAAACAAAGTTATCGATAGTTATCACCAACATTTTCTAAGACTAAGACTGGAAAATCGAAACCACTGAAGTCCTAGTCAATACACATTCGATATGGATGTATTATCTAGAACTCATTATACCTCCCAACAATCACAGGCTTTCTTCCTCTCCTTGCCCAATCTCGCAAGCTCATCAAAAATGAAAATCCACTACAGAGCGTTATTTACTACATTCTACCTTCTAATTTTCTCTTGGCTCTATTACTTTCTGTAACCCAAGCTTTAGTAGGGATGAACATCTTCTCTTACTGCTAATGCTCCCTACCTTTGATCTCCCCTGCTCCCTCCCCACCAGTACAAAACACAAAGCTTATAAGGTAAACATTATCACAATTCCTTCAAAAACTCCCATGGGCAGCACTAGTGAGCAGGTCCCAAGTGCACACCCATTTAGTTTTGCAACTGAACCTAATTTTATACAGAGGCATTCACCTCATAAAAAATCTGGAAGGACTGCAGGAAATACCCATCGGAGTGACCATCTCAGAACTGAAGAAATGCAGTGTAGCTCTTCTCCATTTGCCCCAGCCTAAAGGGGCAGAAACAGAAGGCATCACTTCCCAGGAGAGAGATGTACTGAATTCTAACCACAGGTATATTAAAACTAACATGATAAACTTGTATTGTCCTACTCTGGACTGTAATTCTATACTGCATGGCTGGAGAACAATACTAATTCCCTGTCTGAGAGGGTTTACTAGAATGAAATAAGACAATACACGTGGCAGAGACTTTTAACGAACAGTGTCCTGGTCACTATTCTAAGAAATACTAGTTCGATGAGGCTGAAATAGCTGAAATGGGATTCAGTTAATTCTGATGATCAGCCTGAAATGGGAACCACTGATCCACAGGATAAAGTCCAAACATATTTGCACATATCACGGCTTTCATCCTCTGAGCTCTATCTAAATTTATATGCTGATCTCAGTCATTACTCCTCCATGTCCTTTCTTTGCTTCCAGTTATGCTCAATTACTTGCATTTATTCAGTTTATGAGATGTTCGCTCCCTTTCTTTCCTCCCTGATCTTTAAGTGCTGTTTCTTCTGCTATGAAAAGTCATTCTTTTACTCTTTGCTGAAGTAAGTTCCTCTGTTTTCTCAGTTCTACCACTGCCTTTGAACCCAAAGATTTCCTAAGTACCACAGGGGGTTAAATACTTTTTCTTTTGGATGACAAAAAAGAAAAAAAGAAAGAAAGAAACAACAAAGGCAGAAAAAAAATACAAACAGGATATAGTTGCAATTATTTTCTCTTTCATACACCTTTTTAAAATTATGGGACGCTTCAAATATCAGAAACATACATCAAAAAATTTATCACATACTTATGTCTCTATCACAGAGATTAAAGATACTGACTTTTTTGTTTCAAACTCTGGATATATTTTAGAAGAACCAATTATCATAGATACAAAGTCCCATTCTTTTGTGTTCCTCTTCTAAAGGTGAGGACAGGAGTTCATGTGCATTTTATAATGCATAAATGCATTTTATACCTCTAGTACACAGCAAGTATTCAGTGCATTGTCCAAAACAAGTAACAAAATTTTATTTCCTTCTCTATGGATCTAATCACAAATTAAGTAATTCACTCAAAATTTCAGATAGGTTATGTGAGAGAGTATCAATTAAAACACGTTTCAAATAAAAATAATTTAAGTTATCATCTGGACAAGAAGGTTTTACTGCCATGACCCACAGTATTTTAAATTTATCCACTCCATCTTCCTATTTGGGTTTGGCCTAAAGTGTTTTTTAAAAAGTGCATATGACTACTTAAGGTACAGCACTGCAAAGTCTAATTTGCCCAAGTAATTACCACAGCACGCTATTTACCTTATTTACATTACCTGCACAGATTCTGAAAATAAAAAGATTTACCTCTTGACATAAAGAAAGAGCTAAGAACTTGATGTTAGGATCAGAATGTCCCCACTGCGAGTCCTGGCTGTTTAAGAATTTAATGAAGTAAATTAATGTAAAGTGATTAGTAGAGTACCGGGAAATAGAAATGGCTCAGTACATGCCGGTTATTTCTATTCTTTATTGATTTAGAGAACTTGTTCGGGGCCAAACATAGTAAAATTAGAAAACAGAGTTTCCAAACAATTCCCCACAGTATTCAGCAGAACAAATGACTGGTCACCAAAAGCGCAGAAACTCAAAGGAAACACCACCATTACTGATTACCTTTAAGTACATCAGGGTTTCAAATAGGGAAGTAATGTATCTTTAGAGATCACAGGTTATTTTCCACACTGGCTGAATTACCAGTTCCAGCTATTAATTTTTTGCTTAAAAGAAGTAAGAAAGAAGTTGGTAGGGCTTTCTTACTTAAGACTTCTTCCTACAATATATTTAAAATCTATTTTTAAAAGAGGATTTTGTGCTTTACATTTGTTCTACAAGTTCAACTTTTCAGTTCCTCTGGCTCTGTCTTATCAAGCACCAATAAAAATAAGATGCCCAATGAAAACACATTGTGATTCAGTCATATTTCATATATCACACACACATTGTGTGTTCAGTCATATTTATCGTCAGGTTAAAAGTAAATCAGACTTTCAATTTCTTTTCCAGTATATAAAGAGCTTAGAGATTACCCCTCTGTCCGAACAAGTAAAAAGCTGTCCTAACAAGTAACAAACTGAAAAATCAGTAACTCTTCATAGATCCATGAGAGAAATGAGGTGACAGGGCAAACTGCTCTTCCCAGAACTGGAGAGACATAGAAGTCTAGAAAAAAAAAAAAAAAGAGCTAAACTCAATTATCTACAGTTCTATCTTTTAAAAAACAGCAAAATTAAAAAACAGAAAATTAAACCGAAGTAAACAGACTAAATAAAAAAATTATAGTAGAAATCAATAAACTTGAAAACAGGAAATCAACAGAGAAAATTAACAAAACCAAAAGCTGATTCTTTGGTAAGATTGATAAAATCAACAAACCTCTAGGCAAGCTAAGTAAAACAAAAAGAAGAGAAAACACAAATTACTAATATCAGAAATGAAAGAGAGACTATCACAACAGATATGAACATTAAAAGGATAATAAACACTATAAATAACTTCTATGCTCATATATTTGTTAACCTAGATGAAACTAACCCAGATCCTCAAAAGACACAATCTGACAAAACTTACACAAAAAGAAATAGACAATCTGAATAAGGCCTATATCTATTTAAAATATTGAATCAATAATTAATAAGCTTCCAAAAGAGAAAGCTCCAGGCCAAGATTCACAATGTTTGAATTATAACAAATATAACAAATATTTAAGAAATAAATACTTAAGAAAGAAATTATACTAATTCCCTATACTCTCTTTCAGAAGATTGAAACAGAGGGAATACTTCCCAATTCATTCTATAAGGCTAGAATTAACAAGCTACCAAAACAAGACAAAGACATTACAAAAAAAGGAAAACTGCAGAACACATCTCTCAAGAATACTGATGAAAAAAATCAACATTATTAGCTAATTGAATCCAACAACATGGAAAATAATTATATACCAAAATCAAGTGGAATCTATCACAGGCATCACATAATGCTGGTTCAACATTCAAAATTAGTTAATGAAATTAATCACATCAATAAGCTAAAGAAGTAAAAACACATGATCACATTGGCAAATGTACAAAAAGTGTCTGCAAACATCCAACACTCATTCATGATAAAAATTCTCAGTAAACTAAGGTTAGTGGGATACTTCCTCAACTTGATAAAGACTGTCTGTAAAATCTACAGTGGGTATCATATGTAATAGTGAGAAACCTGAAGCTTTCCAAATAAGATCAGGAACAAGGTAAGGATGTCCCCTCTCTCCACTGCTTTTCAACCCTGTACTGGAATTCCTAGCTAATGCATTAAGGCAAGAAAAGGAAATAGAAGATATACAAATGGACAAGGAAGAAATTAAACAGCCTTTGCACACAGAAGACATAATCATTTAGGTATACACTACAAAATAATTATCTAAAATCCTTCTGGAACTACTAAGTGATTATACCAAAAAGCAGAATACAAAGCTAATATACAAACAGTCAACTGCTTTCCTAGGTGCCAAAATGAATAAACTCAATTTGAAATTAAAAACACAATAGCATTTATATCAGCACCCTCCAAAAAAAGAAAAAGTTAAGTCTAAGTCTAAAAAACTATGTACAAGATCTATATGAAGAAAAGTGTAAGACTCTGGTAGAAGTAAACAAAGGACTAAAAAATTTGAGAACTATACCATGTTGAAGGATAAGAAATCTCAATATTGTCAAGATGTCTATTCTGCCCAACTTGATCAGGATTCACAGTGCTATGCCAATCAAAACCAAAGCAAGTATTTTTGTTAATATCAGCAAACTGTTTCTAAAGTCTGTATAAAGAGGCAAAAGACCAAGAATA